TTGTTTGAATTCTGGATAAACTTTTAATTTACATCTCCTTCCCCCCCTCCCCCCCAATATCCCTTCTGGCCAGTCTTGTCCATTTTACCTTCACATCATCACTCACATCTGTTCTCTTCCGTACTCACACTGACTTTCCCCTAGTTCTGACCTTCATCACCTCCCCTGGACTATTGCAGTGTCCTCCTAATTGGTCTCTCTTGGTTCTAATTTCTCATCTGCAGTCTATCTTCACATAGCTACAAAATTGATATTCCTAAAACATATGTCTGGTCATGTCACTCACCTGCTTAGTTTCCTGGGTAATTTACAAATTCCTGTGTTTGGCATTTAAGCTCTCTAGTTCCAAACTGTCTTTCTAAACCAACTTCTCGTTACTCCGTTCTAGCTTTTACTATTCTGTGTTCAGCTAAACTGCTGTTTCCCATACAGGACATGCTATCTCCTGCCACCATATAGGCTATTCCCATTTGAGCCTAAAATGTTCTCCTTTCTTATCTTGGACTCCCTGGTTCCCTTCAGGGCTCAACTCTTGTGCATCTTCCCACAGGAAGCCTTTTTTATTTCCCTGTGTATTAATTCCCTTCCCATTCCTGTTATATTTACCTGTTGTTACATGCCTCTGCCCTGCCCCCAAGAGAATGTTATTTCCCTGAGAACAGGGACTGTTTAGTTTTTAGCTTTGTAACCCTAGAATCTATAGCACAGTGACTTACATAGAGTAGATGCTTAATAAACGTTTGCTGAATGATTAAATGTTTATGTTGTATATATGTGGCATAATAGATTTTTAAGCCCGTTAAGAGTCTATCGCCTCCCCTTAGTGCCTGGTTTATTGATCTGCTGGGAGCAAGCTTGGATTCCATCATGTGTTGTTGTAGAAATGTATGTTTTTCTGAAGTACCACCTCACAACTATCAGAGTGACTAACATGACAAAAAAGGAAAATGTTGGGTGTTGGAGGGGATGTGGGGAAACTGGGACAACTGCTGGTGGAGTTGTGAACTGATCCAACCATTCTGGAGAACAATTTGGAACTATGCCCAAAGGACTATAAAACTGTGCATACCCTTTGATCTAGCAATACTACTGCTAGGTCTGTATCGCAGAGACCTCCAAAAAAAAAGAAAAAGGACTTATTTGCACAAAAATATTTATAGCAGCTCTTTTTGTGGTGGCTAAGAATTGGAAATCAGAGGAATGCCCATCAATTGCGGAATGGCTTAACAAGCGGTGGTATGTGGTTGTAATGGAATATTATTGTGCTGTAAGAGATGACAAGCAGGATGACTTCATAATAACCTGTAAAGACCTATATGACCTGATACATAGTGAAGTGAACAGAACCAGAAGAACATTGTACACAGTAACAGCAATATTGTTTGATGAAGAACCGTGAATGACTTAGCTCTTCTCAACAACACAAGATCTAAGACAATCCCGAAGGACTAATGATGAAGCATGCTATCCACCTCCAGAGGAAGAACTGATATTGATTGAATATAGACTGAAGAATGCTATTTTTCACTTTTTTTTTCATTTATTTGAATCTTCTTGTAAAAAATGCCTAATGTGGAAATGTTTTATATAATTGCACATGTATAACCTATATCTGATTGCTTAGGAAGAAGGGAGGAGGGATAGAGTTTGGAACTCAAAACTTTAGATGAAAATGTTAAAACATTAATAAAAATAAAAAGCTGTTTTAAGGTTATCCCATGATAGATAACACACTACCTCAAAAAAAAAAAGAGAGAGAAGAAACTCATGTTTGTAATAGAAATTCTTTACAAAATGAAGTTGTTTCTTTAGTTCGGGGGCCTATGTTAATCTAAACCCTATTTTCTTTTGTCTGAAGGCATGTGAAGAGACCTAGAGCTGTATCCAGTCACTGTTCAGACATTCCTAGGGTTCATTCTTCCTGATAGGGAGTAGAAATGGTTTTAGTTATATTCAACAATGTGTTTTACTAAGTAATGCAACTACAGTTAATGTTTGAGGAACCAAGATAACTTGTCTAACTGATAAACACAATGTTGGTTAAGTTTTAGCCTCATCCTTTCCCCCCGTTTCTTAATCCTCTCACCAAACCACCCCAAATACTTTTTCCAAAGTTCCTCAATAGAAGAAAAATGGATTGGCAAGAGTTTTCTCCTTTGATGTCACCCATCTTACCCTGAAGTAGATACTAATTAGTAAGTGACTTAATGACTTTAAGACAGTCAGGAAGTGAGAAACAAAGAATCAGTGTAACCAGACCCTGAAAGATCACAAGTGTGGACTCTGGACTAATGCTGTCTTTTGGAAACTTAAATATTGGAGAGTTTTTCTATAGTTTTTTTTCCAATATGAATATGAAAAACTAACTATATTTCAGTTTACCTTGGGACTATTATTCTTTGAAGTTATTCAGAAAAAGAGCCCATAATAACTTCTCAGGGAATCTTGGAAAGGAGCAGAAATTCTTGTTTTTGAAAATCAAGATGGGTAAAACACCCCCTTTTCTGAAGCTCTCTCCTCTGCTAGTGACGGTATTTTATCCTTACTCTCTCCTATGTCCTTTTTATTTTTCTCTTCTGATTCCTTTTCTTTTTTGATGTGAATTCGACACTCATCAACAAAGGAATATTTCAATATACAGAGAACTAAAAGGAGGATTGTAGAAGAAACCATGAATTTCTGTTAACACAATTTACTTTTTAAGAGACATACATATGGGGGAAGAGTGGGGCGGGGGTAGGCCAGAAGTCCAGTTTCACTACGGTTTCAAGTAATTAAAACTTCTCTCTTTCTGGGTCTCTGCCTCTGTCTCTGTGTCTCTCTTGCACACACACACACACACACACAAACACACAATAGGGAGTGAATGTGAGGAAGTTTCTATTCTAATTCAGGTCCACATCTTCTTTGCAACTTAGTTTTAGAGATTTTCCCAGAGCATTCACAGGTTAAGTGACTTGCCCATTGTCACAGCCATTATATGTGTGTATGCATGTATTTGTGTATATATAAACATGTTTTTATATATATATATGTGTGTGTGTATGTACATATGTAACAAGATGGTAACAAGCTTACTCTGTGTTCCCTTCTGTATTTATTTTTTCTTCTGTGCATTTTTATTTACTCTCATGTTCAGAATTACATCTTTAATCCTGACCTATATCTAAACCTTTCGGTTGTTGTTCAGTCATTTCATTTGTGTCCCACTCTTTGTGACTGTATTTGAGGTTTTCTTGGTACAACTTCTGGAGTGCTTTGCATTTCCTTCTCCAGGTCATTTTCAAATGAGGAAACTGAGGCAAACGGGGTTAAGCGACTTAGGATGTGTCTGAGGCCAGATTTGAACTCAGGAAGATGAGTCTTGCATTCTATTCATTGCATCACCTAGTTGCCCATCCAAGACTCAGTCCCATATTTACGCTAGCCAACTGGGCAAGCTTAGAGAATTAAACTTTATTTGTAAAAATATCACTTTGATAACATTTTTCATTTCAATTCCACAGTATCACCCAAAAGTAAATATTTACAAAATTGGAAGACAGTATTTTTCCCCTTCTAAATTTCTCAGTTCACTTACTAGAAAAGCGTTCCCATTAAGTATTCTCTCTGGGTCCCAGGCACAATACCTTGGAATTATTTTAGTTTCTTCTTTGTCTTGAATTTTAATATTTATTAATCAAGTTAGTTATTTTGTTGATGTGTTTCTTAGATGTATGTGTTCCTTCTTGATTCCTACTGTCTCAGGGCCTTATTGTCTTCTCAATGCTAGTGCTGTGACAGATTTGTAACTGGTCTTCATATTCCCCAGTTTTTCTGCAGTCATTCCTATTTGATTATAGATAAAGATACAGTTAAAGTAATCGTTAAGTGCATACTCTGTGTGTAAGGTTATCAGATAAAAATTTAACTTTCAAGGAGGGTTCATTTTGGAATTTGGAAGACTTGGCTTCAAATCCTTCTTTCATCTATCACAACTCTAAAAGACTTAAATAGTAACTTATTTTATTACAAGAGAAAGCTGAAAAATGCATGTTTGGTCTCCTCTTGTACAGAGTACAAAGGCAAAGACTTGGGTATTTAAGGATTATAGCGAAAGGGGGAGGTTTCATGGGAGGAGTGGAAGACAATCCCCTCCCAAATGGGAGTGTTGTGGGAGAAGGAAGGGACCAGTAGGGGGGCAGGAGTAGGAGAGCTTGGGGACTGTTGGACCATGGAGGGAGGATGTTCTGCTTTTCTGAAAAGAGTCCCAGCTGCACAGTTGATTAGTCTGGACTAGACTGGCCGGAGTCAGGTTTGTAGCTAACTATATATATATATATATGATTTTGGACAAGTCATTTGGCTTCTTGGTACCCCATAGGCAACTACCTAAGACTAAATTGGAGAACTGAATTACTGTCAGCATCAGGGAGAGTTTCCTTCCCTAGGCGTTCTCTATGCCAAAGACATCACATATCCGTACCCCCTAGCACCACCCCCCCAAAAAAAATCTGTCCTGATAATCAACATGACTCTACTTCTTATCCCACACACTCCCAGAAGGCACATTTCTGCCATTGAAGAACCTTTATTTCCACTATTTTCCCCATTCACCTTCATTTGCAAATACCTTACTCATCCTTCAGAGTCTAGATTAAACATTACCTTCTTCATAAGCCTTTTCTAATGATTCCAGCTTACACCAATTTCACCATCCTCTGAACACCTGTCATACGTACTGTCTTTGCTGGGTAGTCTAAAAGTACTAGGAGGTACTCTCTTGTTCTATAATTGTTTTAGTGTTTGTATATATTATCTCTCCCCAAAATAAGCCTTTTGAGGGCAGGGATTATATTTCATTGCTGATTTTATATTCATGGTGTTCTAGAGCAGTGCTGATTAAATAGATAACCAAATAAATGCTTTTTTAAAAAAAATTGCTTCTTTTAACATTGAAATTTGATAAGTATTGATGTCTTTGTATCCTGAATAAACTTTGCCTCTCTCTTCTTTCCCAGAAATGCTCTTTTCAAATTACATTCAACTCTGTGAACATGAAGAATTCTGACCAATCCTAGTCTTGATGCCACACCACTACTCCAATGAATTTATACCACAAGCGGTAACAATGACCAGGCACCTGAAGAATAAAATGCCAACACCAAACCTTACCTTAACATCTCTGGTCTATACTGTTTCCTGACATCTTAATTGTTATTCATCTTTTTTTATTTTGTATAACCACTTCCTAATATTCTTAGTTTTTATTTTATTTTTATTTTTCAAAGTTTAGGATTTGTCTTTGACTTTGTGTACAACTACCTGCTAATTATGCCTGCTTTCTGATCAAATGATAGTGAACAAAGCCAGCCTCAGCTATCAGGTGCTGTTCACTTGAACAGGTGCTGTTGTACAAAAAAAAAAAAAAAAAAAAAAGGAAAATCTTTGACTAATTTAGATAGGGGATTTCCCCCCCTTGACTCTTGTCATTTGAAATCTTACTGGAATAATTTACAGATTTTTTCAGATTGAGGTCAACATACTGCCTAAGATAATATTACAGAGTAGGGTTGTCTTTTTTTTTAAGTTTCCAACATTTTGAAAAATTTTGGTCATGTTTGAGAATTTCACTTGAGATATATTTTCTATTGAGCCCTCTTAACTCTTTCATTCCAAATGCTCTTTACTTTCATTGGAAAGTAAGAGGCAGATTCTCCAGACTAGAGAGAGTTATGAAGGAGGCCCATTAGCATTGTTCTTAGAGACGTTGTATTCCAGTGCAGGTAATAATGCTCAGCTGGTTCTCAGACATGCAGTCTCCTAAAGCATTCCAGAAGAAGGAGGGAAGGAAAGAGAGACATTTCTTCCCTCCTGTTAAAAGATATAGGCAGCTTAAAACCTTAGTGCTTTTCTCTTAACAAGTCCAAATTTCAAAATTTTCCATTATTTGCACCCTTGTGTAGAATGCTTGCTTTTTATTAAACCTCATTGTCTACGTGTTCAAAAAAAAAAAACTGACCCTTTTTTGTTGCTGAGAAGGTAGATCTGTTTCAGATAGTATGTCTGATGATTTATGCAGGTTTTAAAGGATGCTGAGGGAAAGGGATGGGTGCTGGAGTGGTTTTGTGGTGGTAAAAAGAAAGCTACACCATTCGAAGCTGTCACCAGAGACAACAGAAAGGGGACTTGAGATTAACTGTGTTGAAATTTCCTTTTGTTGTTATTTTGTTCCATTTTGATTTTGGCTGTTGACTCTGTCTATAGTTACAATGCCAGATTAGATTTATAGCAGCTTGAAATTGTATTAAGTGATATTTTGCTCTCTGTAATACTGTTATAAAATAAAATTTGTTTATTCTCTAAATTTATCACATCTCTTAATCTAAAAGGTTTGGAAAGGAAAGAGTTGGCGTTTTTAATCACCTCTCCTGAAAATCCATCTTCTGGGACTTTGAATTACTACACCTTTGTCGAATCACCACAATTTCAAATAAACCAAATTATAACTGCCACTTAGAGTACCCACATTTAGTTAAGTTTGGTTAAATAATCTGCATTAATTTTCACTTGCTTCAGTGTGCTGGGGCTTTCCTTTCAGGAATAACTCTACCACTGAATCCTTCAATGACTGTTGTTTAATTATTTTGAAACAATTTCCAATGATCATCACCTAGGAAAGGGGATCAACTAACCAGTTACTTCATTCTAGATTGTTATACAAAGCCATTCCATAGTGGATTATGTGAAAAATGGTGGGTTCACCACAAATACTGGATTTTCTTTTCTCATTCTCGTTGAGAACAGCTTTTCTCCTGCATATCTCCCTTCCTATGTTGTATGCCTTGATTCTTGTAGGCAAATTCCCACAGTGGAATAGAGTATCCCTCAAGTTTTTTTTTTTTTAATTGGTAGGCTGTCTGAGTGGAAGCAATTAATTTACTTAATTTCTTTTGGATTTAAAAGATTGAGTACTTTTAGCATAGTAAAAGATAACATGGGAAAGATTTTATTGTGAATGCTACATTACTCTTTTCCATCATGATTTAAGGTAAGCTTGGATATTTTGCATTGCTGTGAAATGCATCAAATATCTCAACTTTTACTAAATTATTATTCTTTATGTTTTTGGGATACTTGTAGTAGTAGCAGTAGTAACAATAATACTAATAATAACAGCTAGCATTGGTGCTTTAAGGCTTACAAAATGCTTTACAAATATTTTATCCTCAGAAAAATCCTGGGAGGGAGATGCTATTATCATACTCACTTTACAGCTGAGGAAACTGAGGCAAACATAGACTAAGTGGTGTCTCAGAGTCATACAGCTAGTAAGTATCTGAGGCTTGATTTGAACTCTGGTCTTCCTGAAGCCAGGCCCAGTGCTTTATCCATGGTGCCACCTAGCTGTCTATAGCAAAACATTTCCTTAATTTTCTTTGAGTTTAAAGTCATTGAAACAAACAAACAAACAACCCTCATTAAACAAGAATCCCAAGAATCAAGCTTCAGGTTCACCAAACCTGGAAAATAAGATGAGGCCTAAAGTCATTATATAAATTAAACTACTTCTGAGTGCATTTTCCACTTAAGAAAATATTTGTAAAAGAAACTGACTTCTCTTGGTCCCACTTGCGAGTATTTGTTTCATTGATGTGAAGTGGACCTGCGTATAGTAAATCCCATCATATATAGTGTGCTATATAAGCCTAATTTTTATGCCCCCAGTAAGATCAATAAGAATTAAAGCAATTAGCATGTGATTGTTTATGAAAATGCGAATCAAAAGCAGTGTTGATCATGGGTTTAGAGCTAAAAGGCCTTAGCCCACCTCCTCATTTTGTGGATGAGCTGAGGCCCAGAGGTAGTAAGACATTTGCTCACACAGGTGTAGGTTTGAACTCCCATCTTATAACTTAAGATGCAGTGGTCTTTTCACTGTCCCGTGTTCCCTCTCCATGATGCTGGTGATAACAGTACCATAAACTCACATCATAAAGTTTTTATTATTTCATTTGATCCTCACAATGTCACTGTCATATATATCTCTATATGTTTCATGGCCTATAACAACCTGAAAGATAAAATGATGTAAAATATTTAGTCTCTGTAGTTTGGTCTTCATTATTATGAATAGTTTTAGAATTTCCTTTTGATGTGACCTAATATTTCTCAAGATACAACCCAGTAGCATTTAGTAATTAAAAACATGAAAATTATTTGTCTTTAAATTGATTTCCCTACTATTGTGTTGTAAGAAATGATGAAGGAGATGATTTCAGGAAAACCTGGTAAGACTTGTATAGGCTGGGGTAGCGAGGTGGCTCAGTGGATAGAGCACTGGCTCTGGTGTCGGGAGGACCCGAGTTCAATCTGACCTCAGACCAGACACTTGACACTTACTAGCTGTGTGACCCTAGGCAAGTCACTTAACCCCGGTTGCCTAGCCGCCCCCCCTACAAAAAAAAAAAAAAGACTTGTATGGGCCCATGTAAAGTCAGCAGAATCAGGAGAACAATTCATATAATGATATTATAATGACTATAATACAGTAAAGGAAAACTTAACTGATGAACCCAATGTCCAGTCAGGATTCCAGAGGACTTGTGATAGAGAAATGATGGACAGAGAGGTGGTATAGATTGAAGCATATTTTTGTTAAATGAGGCCAATACAGAAATTTGTTTTGTTTGACTATGCATTTCTTACAAGAGTTTTCGTTTTCTTTTTCTTTTTCATTGGGAGCTAAGGTGAAAGGACAGATAAAGTGGGTTTTTGTTTTTTTCTTTTCTTTTTTTTTGGGAAGGGGGTTAGGTAATGGGGTTAAGTGACTTGCCCAGGGTCACACAGCTAGTGTTATGTGTCTGAGGCTGGATTTGAACTCAGGTCCTCCTGAATCCAGGGACAGTGCTCTATCCACTGCGCCACCTAGCTGCCCCTAAAGTGGGTTTTGGTTAACTGGAAAAAAATTAAGTAAAAAAACAAACCCTGATTTCCCCGTGTTTTATAGAGGAATGGATTTTTCATTGTTAGCAACCAGCTGCTTAGTGCTATTTGGTTAATCTCTTCCACATTCTTATTTTTAAAAATTCCATGAAATTTAAGTTCATACTAAAAAGCAGTTAGTTTGACCACTATAAGTTGTTTTTTTGAACATTGCATTCCACCATTGACATATAATATAGCACATTCTTTACGTATGCGAAAATGTTGTTAATGACCCAAGGTCAATGGGATTGATTGCACTCTGAAATATTTCTACAGTAGAAGGAATGGGTTTGAACTGGTCTAGGGAGACAAAGGAGCAGAGTAGAGCCCTGAAATTGGAGTCATAAAGGCATGGGTTCAGAGTTCACATCTGATACTTACTGAGTGTGCAACCATAAACAAGTCGTTTGACCTCCAAGCTTTGATAAGGCCATTAAATAGGCATAGCACTAGTAGTAAAGGTGGATTAAGGGTGGTTGTGAGGGTCAAATTAGATAATTTATATAGAAGTGCTTTGCAAACTTAAATACTGTATAAATTTCAGTTACCCAGGTACACACGTTCACATTGAGGACGCACGCTTGCCAGATGTCTGTTTCACCTTAGGATTGTTGTCTTATGGCTGTAGGACAAAGCTCATTGGAAAACACAGTAATGGAACCCATGATTTCATGGGCACTGTGGTTTAACTGAGCCCAGTTAAAGTTAACCAGACAAGATATCATTGTTTTTCCTAAATTAGTCACCTAAGGGAGTCAAATGGTTGACTTCTTGGCTGTTAAAATAGTAGTGTGTGTTCAGTCATTTCTCACTCTTTGTGACCCCATTTGGATACTGGAGTACTTTGCCATTCCAGCTGATTTTACAGATGAGGAAACTCAGGCATACAGGGTTAAGTGACTTACCCAGGTTCACAAGCTAGAAGTGTCTGAGGCCTGATTTGAACTGAAGAAGAAGTCTTCCTGACTCCCAATGTGGTGCTCTATCCATTGTGCCACTTTACTGCCCAAAATAGTAATAGCTCCCATTTATATAGTACTTTGCAGTTTACAAAGTGCTTTCCTCACAAATGATCCTCTGATGTAAGTAATACAAGTACTATTTGTCCTCATTTTACAAATGATTAAACCGAGGTTTAGAGACATAATAATAGCAAGTATTTAAATAGAGAGCCCTTTAAGTTTTGCAAAATATTTTAGAAATAATAATAACTATAGCTATTTTCTTAATTTATTATGTCATTTTATCCTCACAACAACACTAGGAAGTAGGCACTATTATTACCTTCATTTTACAGAAGAGAAAATTGAGGCAGACAGAAGATAAGGGACTTGCCCAGGATTACAACACTATTAAGTGTCTAAGACCAAATTTGAACTTAGTTCTTTGTGACTCTAGATCCAGCATTCATTCCACTGTGACTGACACTTATCTGCTACATTAAGTGACCAAATGTAAAACCCAGGACTTCTAACTCTTGATTAAAAAATACTCTTCCACTATACCACACTCCTCTCATGAGGAGATTGGGGATTAGGCACGGACTTTTGGTAGCTTTAGAAAGTTAGAAAATCTTATTGCATACTCATTCAATAATGTTTTCCTTTAAAGTGAAATGACCTTTTCAGCCCCGTCAATTTCTAGGCATTCAGTTGCTTAAGGAAAATGCCATTATATAAATTCTGATGATCAATTCACAATCTTGTTAGCATTACAGCACTAATGATGATGGTAGGAGGAAGCAGGAGCTTGAGGAAGCATTATGAACACCCTAGTAAAAATCTGACATTGAAGTTTGAGATATCAGAGAATTGGTTTTCAAGGCCCTTGAAGACAGGTAAAAATATGAACACTGCTTTCACTGATATCTTAATCTGTCAAAACCTTATAAAGTTAAATTAGGATTGTGTTATTTCCTGAGTATGAGCCTCCATAGTTAACCTTAATGGCTTCTTAATTACATTTAGAATAGGCTGGAGGTCTCAACCCATTCAGACTAAGAGGTATAAAATAAAGAAGTTCGGCTTCTTGGTGAATAACAGGTACATGTTTCAGAGACCATGCCCTGGCTTAATTTCCTGTAATATTGAATCCATTAAAATTGAGGATATATTTATCTTGGATAGGAACTTCAAGCTTCTAAATAGTAGTAATAAGATTAGGTTTGCCATAAGAGCTGAGGAAGATGAGCTCCAAAATGGTAACGCGAGCTTGAAGCACATTTTGTCACATACTGTAGCAAAAAATCAATTCATTAAAAAAAAAAAACAAACAGCAAATTAGCCATAAAAAAAAACAAAACGGAAGCCTACCTTCAGGTGTATTCTCATAGAGGTGTTACTCTTGCAGACATGTATTACTCACCTTCCTACACTCTGT